AAATAGCTGAGACTCACTTGCATTCCGTTGCTATGTGTTAGCTCATTTGTCATCTTGTCCTCTGCTCTCCAGCAACCCCCCTGAACACCCTCAAAAAGGGGCAGCGGATAGAAATGCAGCAGGTAAGGAGGCAAGGGAGCAGGGTTAAAAGATGGCTGCCTCCCTCTCTCTCCCTCCCCACCGAAAAAAAAAAAGAAAAAGCTCCGAGGTAGAGAGAGATAACCTGTGCCATGAGCTGCTATTTCAGTAAAGAGCTGGCGAGAGTTTAGCAGGATTCAAAGGGGACTGGGATACATAATACGATAGTATGAAATGTAGCATATGTGTTTTATATACATAAAATTAGCCCCTGTACATGCATGTCTCAGGGAATAAATCAAACGCTAACTGTCCTGGGATTACAAAGAAACTTTCCTTGTGGACAAACCAACTCGTAATTTTTCATCTTGAGCTTCCAGCACCTTCCTCTGGTCCAGTGCTCGCAGGGACAGAATGTGTTTTCAATATGATCCAGTCAGACCTTTCCTATGTACTTTAGTGGTTGGATTCCTAGTTCCTTGCTAAATGGAATTTGGCAGTATCTGTGATTGTTATCACCTTCTAGTGGGTTTCACTAATTTATCGGTGATATTCCTAAGGGGTCAGGGAGAGGGGAGTTTACACAGAGGTTCGGAAGTTGCAGAGGGAGAAAATAGCATGCTGTAATATCATTACTGAAAGAAAATGTAACCCCTTCCCCCTGCCAAAAAAGAATGTATTGTGATTCTAGTTAATGCTTGGAGCCAAGGGATAATTTTGGCATAGGGAGAACTTTTTTGGCTTTCTTTTGCAAGTAAATCAGAGGTGGAAGGGCATTAGACTGACTAACTTCCTGAACTGGAAGTTGCATCCGGACTGCCATACTTAATTGTCTGTGATTGACCTATCTTCCATGAATTTCACTGATCCATGTTTGAACCTGTTTATATTTTTTGCCCTCCACAGCACTGGGTGGTGATGAATCCCACCATTAAATCATGTATTGTTTGAAAAAGTTCATCCAGGATGTCCTGTACAATGCTGTCAATCTGTCTGATGAGTAAATGGATGGCTGCTGCCAGGGATCCAGATTCCCTCAGCCCGTGTCTGTGGTAACTGCCCTCGAGGCCACATCGAGCAGTCGGGAGGGGAAGCAGCACCAGATCTCCTGTGCTTCACCTTCCATTTTGAGCTGCAAGGGATCAACGTTAGCTCTGACATGGGGCACGTTCTGTGGTTTGACTACTACATGGTGATTTTGCTGGCT